CCCTCTCATTTATAACTGAGGCCTCTCATTCTTTCTCACTGCTACCACACTGAGCACACCTCTCTTCCCTGGACTGCAGATCTTTGACTCATTTCTATTAGAATTCCAAAATACAAAACTGATCTCTGCTGCAGTGTTTCTCAAAGCATGGTCCCTGGATCTGCAGCATCCACATCACCTAGCAACCTGTTAGAAATGTAAATTCTCAAGTCCCTGAGCTTCTAAATCAGAAATTTCAAGAGTTGAGTCCAGCAGTCTGTCTTTTAAAAAGCCCTCCAGGAAATTGTGATGCATGCTAAAGTTTGAGAGCCACTGCTCTACCACTGGAAATATCTCCCTCTCCAGTGATCACTCTTCATACCATTAGGGAAATCTAGCCCTCATATACCTACTTCTATTACCCTCGAAAATACACTGAGATTCTTTTACACAGATCCCACAGAAGATCTGAGTTTGCAGTCTTCCTCCAGTCCCTGTTCTCTTCACTTTTATGTTGAAACTTATAGGATTTCAGGAAGAGATCTCTGTCTCTGTGCCCAAATTTCCCCTTTTTATAAGGACATCAGTCATATTGGATTAGGACCCACTCTAATGACCTCATTTTAACCTGATTACTTCTGTAAATACCTTATTTCCAAATAAGGTCAAGTAATGGGGCACTGGGGATTAGACTTCCATATATCTTTTTAGAGGAGACACACTTCCACTGATAACAAATACCATAGAATTTTACAGGAGGCTCTGGGAGAATCCTCTTTATGTGTCCTAAGAACCTCCAACACCACCATGGGATTAATTTTCCCTTCTCTTGGGAACCATCAGAAGTTAAGAGACAGTGACAATTGTCTATTCTTAAGGAAGTAAGCCAGGTCTGGGTGCTTCTTCACTGACATAGACTGTACATTTGCAAGAGAGAGGGAAGTATAGAACATGAACATATATACAACACCCTTGTTTAAAGCTCTTGGAGGAAATTTGCCCCCCAAATAGCTTTAATTCTATCAAGTGAAGATTGGATGTCACCAGAGAGCCACAGTTTCTACACTTAGAAGGCAGAAAATTGGCCCAAACATCCCCCAACCACATCACCCGGCCTTTTGCTCAGTCATCTGTTTCTTTCCTGCAAGTCTAGGCAATAGTTGTGAATTAATTCTCGGCTACTGCCACACACTAGCAAAAGAGACACATCAGCATCCTGGCGTTCTGTAAGTTTCACTTCGTTGTAATTAAAAGGAACAAGAGTTTCTTTTCACATGGGAGAACATGAAAGCAAGTTTGGTGGACCCTAGACAAATGTTCTAACGTTTGGAGAACTGAGGTGTGGCTACTCTTCTCTGTGCCAAGAGGGGTGACAGTAAAAATATAATTCTCTCGCCCATTCTGGGCCTGTTCCCAGACTCCTTTCCAGAGGCCTGCAGGCTTGGACTGCTAGGTAGGATGAGGAGCAGGGGCATGCAGAGTTCTCGGGTATGCAGAGTTCTCAGGCATCCTGGGTGCCTTGAGTACCAGCCGAGGCTAAGAATCTGGGCTCAGTCCCCAGGGAAGGGCATCTCACGCCACATCTCCTTCCGCAGTCCCCATTAATAAGAGCCGCTACGTAGCTACGACTGCGCAGGGGAAACGGGACTCCTCTGGGAGACGCAGAGATATTTGTTCCAAAGAAAGGGACTAGAGGCTCCCTGTAAGCAAGAACGATCCAATCTAAAAGACAGACTTCCCTTCTGACAGGCGGAGTCGGGGAGGAAGATTCCGCAGACCCTGCTCAGGCAGACACAAGAGAGTGGACATTGTTTGGCGTCCGCTAATTGCTCTTTCCGTCACAACGAGCAAAATGGAACCAGGAGGCAAGCTTTTCTTTTCTTGATTCTTTAACTCACGGTCTATGCTTCCTGGAGGCTGGAAGACTCGTCTCCTGGCTTCAGAATCGGAAAATATCAGACTCAAAATTTAGTCAAGAATTGAAGCGCGCGGTGGGGTGGACAGGGAAAGACAGCTTTGCTCTTACTCCACCGCTACCACCACCACTATCCGCAAGCGATCTGGAGTCTAGACCAAGGAGTTCATTCGCCCTTTCAACCGTTTTCCAGCGCTTACTGGGCGCCAGGTGGAAGCTGATGCGATCCCTGTCTTCGGAAAGCTGTTACATTCTAGATCCCAAGAGCTGCGCTTCTGGAACGGATATTTTGTTTTGAAGGCTCTTCCCTTTTAGTTCTTAAAGTGAGAAGAGAGTCCCAGTAAAGCACAGAAGGGAGGGAAGAACTCTCTTAGGGTGCTTTGGTGATACCTAGACTCATGGTTTCTGGTCCGGGAGCAGAGGACAACGCTGAAAAAAAGTGCAGCAAGGTATAACTAGCCAAGTGTAAGAAATTTTGTGCCGTAGGCTTGGTAGCGTGGCCGAGCGGTCTAAGGCGCTGGATTTAGGCTCCAGTCTCTTCGGAGGCGTGGGTTCGAATCCCACCGCTGCCAAGGTTTTGTTTCTTAACGGTAAGTGATCACGGCCTGTATCTGTAAATAAAAGTTCTGTAAATCCATAAGGGATTTGATCTAATATCTGGATTTTCTGGACTGGGAGAATCAGTGAATGAATGGCTCACAGTTTACCTTTAGGGAGGTAGCAAGTCATACAGATGCTCAGACCACTGAAAAGACCCACTCCTCCCGATCTTCTGTTCTGTTTGGAAGGGTTGTTTGGAAGGGAGCGGATAAGGACTTGCCAGAGGGATGGCATTTAAGCTGGGGCATTCAAGTTGAGAGAGAAGTGGAGAGCCTTGAAACCTTGAAATAACCTTGAAAGTGCATGTGTCCTATAAACGGGTGGGGTGAGGTGGGGTGAGGTGGAGTGAGGTCGGGTGGGTCACTGAGGGGAGCAGGGGGTGAAGTGAGACTTTGTCTCAGCATTTGCTCCTAAGTATTAAACCAGAAAAATTCGAGCAGTTGCGCGTATTGCGGAAAGTGCACAGCCCCTGCTGCTGACCGCCTCTCGGACCCCTACTATTTCCTACAGGAAGTTCTGCATTTCTCCCCCTGCCGCTGATCTCCCTGCTACTACATCACCCCCTCCCTCACCCACACTTTCTCTTTCCGTCTCCTCCTCCAGGTCTACCAGCAGGCCAGGAAAGGAGAAAGCAGGAATGGAATCGCCGAGGGAGGCTACTTCTCACCAGACCGGGGAAGTGATTCAATACCCAGGCTTGAACCAGTCAAGGAAGACTACGCTGACTCCCCGCCCAGCCCGCAAAGTGTCCCAGGATGGGCTCAAGGTCAAAATTTGAGCTCTTTAAGGAACATTCTCATTTTCTGACCTTTGAGGGCAATGCCTTTCCTGCCCCCATGTACACTGCCTTTGGTACCCAAAGGGTGCTTTGGGCATGGTTTGCACCCAGGTTTCAATCTAGGCATTGTCCCTTCCTCAAGCCTTTGAAAAGGAGTCATCGGTTCATTTTAGTAGGTGGTGATGGCCCTGACTGGCCTGTGCCCTAAAGGAGAAGAGATAAATTTGTCCACGTGGCTTGTTACTCTAGTCATCCTCTACAATAGTGACATTTTGGATTGCTCTTTAATGTGGGGGCTTGTCATATGTATTGTAGGATGTTTAGCAGCATCCCTTGCCTTTACCCAGTAGATACCAGTGGTATCATACCAGTTGTGATAACTGAAAATATCTCCAGACAATGTCAAATGTCCCCTAGGAGGCAAAATCCTCCCTAAAGACTTACGAAGGGCTGAGATTCTTAACTTTATGAAGTACAATTTATCATGCTTTTCTTTTATGAATCATGCTTTTAATATTGCATCTAAGAAATCTTCCCCCAGCACAAGTTGACAAAGATTTTATTCTAAGTATTTTATAGTTTTGATTTATGATCCATTTTGAGTTAATTTTTTATCCAGTGTGAAGTAGGGGTCAAAAATTTTTTTCAAAATTACTTTTTAAAAAAAATCATTCATTGAAAAGACTCTTTCCCTACTGAATCATCTTTGAAATTTTGTCAACAACTAGTTGAAATACATGTGTACTCCTGTCCCACAGATATGTTTTTTGTATCTTAATGCCAATACTACAGTCTTAATTATAGCAGCTTGATGTCAGGCAGAATGAGTCCTCCAACTTCGTTTTTCTTTTCAAAGTTGTTTGGGGCATGCTATGTCTTTGAATTTCCATGTGAATTTGGAATCAACTGGTCATTTTCTGAAAAGCAAAAACAAAAACAAACTTGTTATTTTGATTTAGATTGCATTGAACCTATAAATCAATTTAGGGATAATTGATATCTTAACAATATTGAATCTTCTCATTCACAAACATGAAATGACATTATTTTTCCCTGAAATGTTTATTAAAATTCACCAGAGAAGTTTTCTTGGTCTGATTATTAAGTGACAGCATATAAACAGTGCAACAATTAAGGCCTCGTGGGGACTTGACATCTTAGCTCCTGCCTGGTGCATTAACCTGAGTTACAGCATCTCCTTATTGTATTCTTCTAAGAGAGACTTTCATTTTGTTGATCCACAACCAACAAAACTGGGACAAAGAAATAGAAGATAGTTGTTCCTAGTCCCAATTAATTGCATCTCACCCTCCCAAGGCCACCACACTGGAAGACAAGTCACCAGACAGAACAGAAACACAATCTGTGTGACTGTTGCCTGTGCAGTTGAGTCTGGAGGAAGCCCCTAGTATACCAGGCCACCATCCTCACACACTTGATTTGTCCAGCACAATACCCACAACAACCTCCATGTCTTTCCTAACTTACAAAATCTCTAGTGTTGGTGCAGACATCTCTGAGACTGGTGCTAGACCTTCCCCCAAGGTTAGCCCTCTCCAACACTCTCCCCAATTCCTGGGAGGAAACTTTGGGAAGAGTGCAGTGGCTCTGGGAGTGACATCTCTGTCTCATCTCTTCTATAAGCTATGTCAGAGGTCAAAGAGAAGCCAACACTACGTTAATTAAATCAGCCTCTGACGATTAAATGAACAATTCAGGATCCGTGCAGTTATGAACCAGGAAAACCTATTCTCAGGTGTCATTTCAGGGATGTATTTGCTCCTAGCACTAAAGCTTTCAGTCCAGAGCTCACCACAGGTGTGTGGGTGGGAATAAGGTAGAGTTAGAAGCCCTGGATCATCCTGAGATGTGTCAAAGAACGGGACTGAAAGAGAGAGGAATTTATAGAAGGATTAGTGAGGAGCCCTTCTTATATGTGGTTCCTCTTTGTAATCTACGAACATCCTCACATCATTCCGGCACACCATCTTTTCCATGGTCTGGCAATGGCAGCCAAGCGGCGGCATTTGGAGACTACCACCCAGGCATTGAACCCAGTGATGATCTTTCTTGGCTGTGTCCCAGCACGTGTCCAGAGAAACAGCCGCTGGCTAAGCTTGTTTTGACTTGACAGGCAGGACAAGTGAGATGTCCTTAAAAGAAATAGAACAGACTTGTTAGAATACGCTTTTGCGTTGATTTTTTGTTTTTGTCTTTTTTTTTTTTTTAATGTTAGCTGCACTTGGGAAACTTTACAAAACACTGATGCTGGGATATCACCTGCAGAGATTCTGATGTAACTGGTCTAGGGTGCGGCTTCGACATCGAAATTTTCAAGTTTCCTCACATGTTTCTGATGAACAACCAGGGCTAAGAACTGCTGCTCTAGGAATTTAATTATTGTTTTGGATGTGATATGCTGAGTTAAAATCCCGAAGGAGCCCGAATGATCTTTTGAAAAATGGCGTCAGCTATCAAATGAAGGCGATCTGTGAACGAGGACAGAATATTCTGTTATAATGAAAACCATCTAGTGGAAGAGGACAGGGTCAGGGATTGGAAACCCCAGTCTGGCCTCTGTGGAGCTGCAGGACTTCTATCGACAAAACATTTTTCTCGAAGAAATGAGCACGTTGTGACACTGAGCTAGGAGGAAGGCCTAGAGACGGAGCTCCTTCGGGAGGACCTGGGCATAGCTTTTGGTGGTGTGTTGACGATTCCGCCAGGGGGGCAGAGTTTGTCACCAGGGAACTTGAAGGCTGCCTTCTACTCTCCTAGACCTTTCCTCGCACAAGTCCCCGGAGCTGCAAGAGAAGACTCCGAGGGTGGATTTGCAAGGCAAAGATGTCAAGGCGGCGACCTGGGAGACCTCTAAGGTCCTAAAACTGTCAAATTCAAACAGTGTAGGCATCAGCTCTCTTTCCGTGAGAGCAGAAAGAAGACATCCCCAGGTGTCTTAGGAACAGAGTGTAAAATCATCTGAGAGGCTTCTTGAAGACATAATTCAGCGGAACCATACGAGTGCATTCTTTGATGTCTCAGCTGGTAAAAGGGGGGACTGTAAAGTTCCATCTGCATCTTTAGGTTGTTGGTAAGATTCCAGTTTTAAGTAGGTGCTCACTCATTTATTTGCAAATGCTCCAAAACTCCTTTTGATAAGTCATGCTCCTTCAAAGCTAGGGTTTTTGTGGCTTTAATTAGCTTCACCGTTCGTTTATCTCCTTAAGAAATTGGCGGCTAGACTGAGAGGAAGCCAACAAAAACAAAACGTAGTGACACCTGCAGAAGACCCACAGCCTAGTGTGTGGTACAGATTTCATTCATTCATTACTCACTTATTCATTCACGAAGTTCTTCCCCTTTAAGCGCTGCGTGGCAGATGAAAAAACCTCTGATGTTCCTTGAACCCTTCCTTCACTTGCTCTTAGATGATGTTTGAAATTAATACTCCGAGAACACATTATATAAAATAGAGCTGAGATGTAACAGAAAGTAGATACCATCACAAAGAGTAGAGACAGGTTTGCCCACAGTTGGTAGCGTGGCCGAGCGGTCTAAGGCGCTGGATTAAGGCTCCAGTCTCTTCGGAGGCGTGGGTTCGAATCCCACCGCTGCCAGTAGGTTGTTTTGCCAGCTGCAGAACCAGGGTCTAAATGGGACAGTTGTGAGTACTAGCCTAGTATTTAATTGGGACTGATGAGTGACTGTTTGTGCAAGAGTGAGGTTCAGGTCCAAGTCCAGTGGGTTCCCTTTTTCTGGCCAGAGAAGGCCCGAGAAAGCGTTGCCAATTAGTAACGTTTTGGTAAGTCTTCAAGGATGCAGTTCACCAGAAGGATAGGAGTCGGTAAGAAGCAGAACTTTTAAGACTTCATATGCAGAAGAGGAAGCTGTCACACGCGACAGAGGATTGATTAAAAAGTCTGGGAAAGGACAAGGAGTGGGGTTTTGTTTGTTTTTATTTTTTACATTTCTTTCTTCTCATATATGAAAACTCACAGCAGCTTTGCGGTCAGTCTATGGACAAACTTCAAGAGGCAACTCCTTTGGCAAGAGCACTGGACGCCCTGGGGTCTGTCCTGTCACTGGAGTACAGCAGTGACTTTAGAGTCAGCTCTTCGGGTCCTTGTTTCGCCACTGGTCTGTTTGCTCAGGCCAAGCCGAAGACCTGTTTCTAGTCTCTCTTGCCTCTGCATCTTTCTCTACCAGGAGGCGAGAAAGATGGAGAGGTTCTGAATGAGACTGTCCAGAGGATGTGGCTCAGCAAGAAGGCAATGCTCACAGGAGGATGGGGGTGTTTCAATTCTTGCAGACTCAAGTCAAGGATCTTTGACAACTAACTTGGAAAATTAAGCTTACTGCTCCTACAGCTTGCTCTCAAAGAGCCCAAGAATGTTTTAACCCATAATCTGAACTACTATTAGGCATTTTCGCCTAATGAACTGTAAGTACAATGTATTTCTGGATCTGTGCCCATAGTTTGGGTCCCGGAGAGTGAAAGGGTGAAATTTTGATGTCCACTGCATCCCAGGTTGAATCTGAGTGTTGCGTCTTTCTTGGTGTCTCTTTGGAGAGGCCAGGAAGAAGCGAGCACCTTTAGGCAAAGGAGAGAAATTTTATTTCAGGAAGTGGTGAAGGAATGAATGTGGCCCATGTCCTTATAAGAATCACCAGGAGCTTGAATTCTCCATTTAGAGATGTGCATGTTGTTGCCCCTCTTTTGCTTAGGAAAACTCACTAACAAAATCGCAATCCTTGTTTAACATAAGCATTCAGTCCCTGCACTCCCCTAGCTGAACTAGAATAAAGGGAAACCCAATGATGCTAAACAGGTCTCAATTTAAATTCATGACAATAATCTCAAGTATGTCTGCAAGACAACCTTACTATTTTTCTCAATCTCTTCACTGTACCATTTTTAAAGACTACTCTATCATTCCTTCTCTTGTGTCCTCAAAGCAGTCAATACCTCAGCATGTATTCTCCCTCTCGGCTTTTATTTCACTGAGAAAACAGCAGCATTCACAGGAGAACATCTACAAGGCACCCATCTACCTGCGTCGGAGTGCTTTTATGCCTCCTGTTACTGTGGATGACCTAGCCTCGCTAAGGCCATCCCAACTGTGCACTAGTTGCCATCCTTTATTGCTTATCCAAGAATATTCTTTTTGGCAGTTGTTTCTTCTCTCTTCTTCTGGATCATTCCCAACAGCCCACTAGGATGCTGCTACTATGATCCCAGTATCAAATACAAATTTTAGGTTCTGGAAACAAGAAAGGGAGTAGATGCAAGGCTTGCCTTATACCCGTGGTCACTCTGAGGGTCCGCCTTGATCTTTTTAGGTTTCCAAGTGTCATGCTAATAGTTCATCTAGAAAGCTAAAGGTTTGGTGAATGCGTGGCATGTGGGAAAGGACATTTCTTTTTCCTCCTTACTGCTTTCCCCTTCAATGCTTGTAGGAGGTGATGTGAATCAAAAGGTACTTGCCTTCAACAAATCAGTGAATGCCTATTTGCCAAGAACTGAGCTTGGATCTAGCAGGTAAGGCCAAGTCCTCAGGAAGTTCACTTTCTAGAATGATTGAAAATGCTTTTCTCAAGCAAATGGAAATGTTTAATCCAACAATCTTCCATCTAGTCCACAAAATGTGAGGAGTGTAATCAAGAAAAAGTTTGATTGTAAGGCGGAGTGGTGGAGTGGTTTGAGCTCCAGTCTCTTTGGAACTGTGAGTTCAACTCCCAGCGGTTTGGTGTCTTTTATATGAATAATCTGCCCTTTAAACTTCTCCATTGTATCAAAAAGGTACAGAAATTTTAATCAACAGGAAGTGTATGATTCACGAGGACGAGAACTTCATTCTAATTGGGTGACATTACCAGTGTGAAGATTTTTAATTATTCCTTTTGAAAATGATTTACAGAAAAGAAAATCTCTTCTCTCCATGAAATCACTGAAATATCGTGGTCTTTAAAAACCATTCTGATTAAAAAGAACCAGAGCTTCTTAGAGGAGTGGCTGATTTTAGGTTTGGGGCAGGAAACATACATGAAGAGCTGGCAAGAAAAGTACTCAGTTATGTCAAAAATCTGCAGAAGTCAACATTGGCCAAAGATGGAAGAAACCAACCACCAAGCTGAATGCTTACTGCAACTGATTGCAATACATTGAATATAAGACATATAATAATCTTTTAAATGCAGAAAGAAAAACAGCTTACTGATCACCAGTGGGGATAACTAGGTTAAAATTGTTTACTGTAAAATTTTGCAATAATGGGTAAGAATCAAGCATTGTCCCTTCCCATTATATGCAAATTCTATTTAAGATGACAAGTAGCTCTAGTTGGTGAATAAAAGTTCTTTGAAGAGGAAATCTAGCCAGTGGATATGGAAGAAATAGAATTAGAAATCATAATTTAGCAACCCCTAAAAAGTAATTCAAGCAGTAATGACATTGATTCAAAAATATCATTTAATGATAGGTTGATGGGGGAAATTACAATGGAGGGAATGAGCTATATTGCTGTGAACCCACTGAGAAATATTAGCATTTAGAATTGAAATTTTATGTGCTTCCTGCGGTGATGCCCAAATATGAAGTATGTGGGACTGCTTGTGAAGTACTTTTGTAAAAACTCTGAATTTAACGAAGCCTTTATAGTTAATATTCCGTTTTCAAGAAATGAGAGAGCAGAATAAAAGCATCAGACTGACATTGTCCACAACAAGTAATTCAGTTTCTTTAATATCTGACTGGCAGAGAAACAGAGAGAACAGAGAGAAAGGAGAAAGAGAGAGACTGAGATAGAGGAGATTTAAAGCAAATATATGTATAAAATTTGTTTCAGTCCTGATTAGATTAAAAGCCTGTTAAGTGCTATTATAAGAAAATCAGGGAAATTCAGTATGTACTGTGTACTAGATGCTAAAAAAAATTCATGTTAACTTTGTTGGGTATAAATTTGTGGATACGTAATAAGGTTTCATATATTAGAGAATCATTTTAAAATCGCCGCCGCGGGGTGCTGGTCCACCAAGGAGCCCCGGCGTGTGCGCGGCTCCCTGCCGAGGGGCTTCCAACCAACCCAAGTCATACTGACCCTGGGGCTTTCCAGTGCCTTGGCTTCCTTCATTTCCACAAAAAGAAATGACCCAGCACTGGCGGGTGTGCGCCCTTCGATAGCTCAGCTGGTAGAGCGGAGGACTGTAGAGGAAATGTTCTCAGACATCCTTAGGTCGCTGGTTCGATTCCGGCTCGAAGGAGACGCCCTTGCTTTTACCCTGAAAACCACCAGCCCACCAACCCCTGGTAGTTATCTCCCCGCGCCCAGCGCTACCTCTGCCCCGCAAATTGGCCCCTGCAGCAGACCAGCATTCCATCTCTCAGGGTAAAGCCAGGAAGCACTCTCCGGAGCCACCCTCACAGATAACTCGCTGCTTTCCTCAGGGAACACACCTTACTTTTTTTCCCCCCGAAATCCACTGACACATGCCCTTCAGGGCAAAACAGCCCTTCTCTCCTTACTCCTGCCTTAGTGGGTAGCACCAACCAAGAACCCAGAATTTCTGAAAATCCCCACCCGGGGATGCCCGACGGCTACGGAGCCCCGGCGTGTGTGCGACTTCCTGCCGAGGAGCTTCCAATCAACCCAAGGCTTGTAATCTCTGGGTCCTTTCAGTGCCTTGGCTTCTGTTATTTCTACTGAAATGAAAGACTCAGCTCTTTGCTTCTGTGCACCCTTCGATAGCTCAGCTGGTAGAGCGGAGGACTGTAGATAGTGTGTGTGTGTATAGACATCCTTAGGTCGCTGGTTCGATTCCGGCTCGAAGGAGGTGCCGTTCAACAGCTTTTGCCCCATCAAAACCACCACCCTGGCCCTCACCTCTTTCTGGCAAGTTGGCCCTTGCGGCAGGGGCGGCAGGGCAGCATCTGAACTCTCTTACGGTAGAACCTGGAAAGCTCTTCTGGTGCAACCCTCACAGTCACCTGTGAGCTATTGCCAAGGAACACAACTGTCCCTACTTCTCAAAATCCACAGACCCGTGACCTTCCGCACAGTTTCTTAGCTGGTAGCCCCATCAGCCAGCCCCCCTCAATCTCCCAAGCCTTTACACTTTTATCCCCACCTTTCTCCAGTGAGAGCAGTACCCACTTTGCCACCACCACTTTGCTCAACATGGAAAGATCCCTCACAAACACGTGGGCACACAGGAGCTGCCTACCGCAAACCCTGGAGCCTGACAAGCATAGGGGCCATCACACAGCTCCGGGGCAACCAAGGCATCCTTCTTGAAATCCCTCCCACTCAAGCTCCCTTTCCTACTCTGCCTGGTCTTAGGATGGCCCCTGACTTCACTCTTCTGTCTAGCCCGACTACAGCCTCTGTATCTCTGTTTCTCTCTCTCATCTTCCCACTCGTCTGGAATGATCTATAAATACATAGACCTACAGAGACAGAAAACCCTCTTCCACTCCCATTTTATCTACTGTTGGACAGAACTGCCACCCTGAGATTTTCCACTCTATTGCCAGTTGTGCGCCTTCATCAAGGGAGGCTGGCATTGGCAGAAGCAAATGGCACCAGGGCAGGGGGAAGGGGGCTTGACAGTCAGGATAAAAACTTCAGAGGCCTGTTCAGTTCTCCTATCAATCAGAGAACAGGGTCGTATCCTCCGGAAAACTTCAAATTTCTTTGCCCTATCATGAAGGCCATCAGTTGGAAAGCAATACAGAGAGGACTGTCAGTGGCACAGTGATGGCAGTGTGGCTCTCTGAAGTCCCTGGGGCCCAGTCACTGCCCTCCCTTGACCCCTGAGCCCACAAGCTCCTTTTTGGTTGGTGTTCAGCTTCTGCGTGGAGGCTGCTTCCCCGCACATCTTCCTCTCCTGGCAAGCTGTTCCAGGTCTCCCCACTGTGGTCGCTGTCTTTCCTGCTGTCCCACTGCTGACTAAGAGGGGCTGAGCTTGGGCTGTCATGTCTCTAGGGCTTTGGGAGTTGATGCATTACTGTCCCACAGGAGGTCTTCAAGAGGAACCTATTGCTCTGTGGCCATGGAGAGTCTCCAGTCTCGAATGCCACCATCTTGGGAGACCAGGGGACAGGAACCAAAGACAGAACCTAAGGCCTTCCCACCAAGGGAATTAGAGGGACCTAGGTTAGGGGGAACGTAGCTTTGGTACTTGGGGGGAATGACAAGAGTTGGGGGGTGGAGGTGTGGGTGGGAGGTGGATTCTAGTAACCTGGGAACGCCAGAGTGAGCCCTCAACATGGCCCACTCCTCCTGTCTGGGGCATCACAGTGAGCAGTAGAGGACTTCTGAAATGACCCTCAACCTCCCACTCCGGGGTGGGGGTGGGGTACCTAGTGACAGGTATTTGAGTGCTGGTCACTTGGGTGTGGCTTGCTGCGCCTCTGAGACCTGTGCTGGGTAGACCCAGACAGCGGTGTGCTCTGCCCCTCTTCCTTCATCTCTGGTGTCTGTCCAGAAAGCTCACAGAATATTGAGTTACTTTACTGAGCAGCCGCGTCTGCCAAAGAAATCCGGGTCTGTGGACAGAGAAGGCGATCCAGTTTCGCAGACCGGCCGCAGCAGACTAGGCGGCTGGGTACAGGTGGGGTGGTCTTCCGACCTGGCCCAACCTCCCTTCTCCATCACTTCCCAGGAAGCCTCACGGCGGGAAAAGTGAGCCTAGTCCACAGCGGGCAGCAGCGCCGAGTCGGGGGTTGAGTGGCGGGGTACAGGCGCCGCAGAACAAGGGAACGGCGCTTAGAGGCTCCCCCAGGGGCCTTTAGCGGACCCTGGCCGCGCGGTTTGTTCTCAGCTGCTTTTCTCCGCAAGCTCGCCCCCACCCAACCCACGCATTCGCATCAGTTTCGCCAAAGCCTGCCTGCTGTCACTCTGTACAGGTTTTCTGGCCAGCAACGGCTGTCGTCCAGCCCGTCCCTTCAGAAAGGTGCTCGAGGAGAGGGAAATGAGCTAACAGGTGGCGGCCCAGGCATTTAAAACATCGCCAGCCCACGGGCTCCCGTCCACGTGCACAGCTCCTTGCCAAAGTGGTGTCTAACCAGCCCAAGGAATGTTGCCCTGTGCTTTTCAGTACCTTGACCGCAGTGATTTCCACAAAAACCAAGGACCTGAACAAAATCTTCCAAGCACCCTTCGATAGCTCAGCTGGTAGAGCGGAGGACTGTAGATCTGACGTGTGTGGTTATCCTTAGGTCGCTGGTTCGATTCCGGCTCGAAGGAGGTGCCTTTGATAGTTTTTGCCCCCCATCATGAAGGCCGTCAGCCCCAGGTGCCCAGTGCCCAGCGCCCAGCCAGAGATACCTCTGCCCACACAGTTTGGCCAGCATCCTCACTCCCACAGGACAAAATCAGGAAACCCCCTCCAGACTGGCTGGAATAGCTCCTGCAGTTGCCTGCATGGGAACACACCTGCTCCTTCTTCCCGAAATCCAGCGATACATACCGTTCAGTGCAAAACAGTCCCCTTGCTCCTGCCTCGGCCACCAGCCCCAACCAGATAACTCCCACAACCTTCCAAGCCCTTTACACTTTTGTTCACCCACCTCTCCCCAGCCAGTGCTGTGCCTGCTCTGCCACCATCACTTTGCTCAACATGGACAGACCCCTGACAAACATGTGGGCACACAGTAGCTGCCCACCACAAGCCCTGGAGCCTGACAAGCATGCAGACAACCACACCGGTCACTGGTAACCAAGGCATCCTTCTTGAAATCCCTCCCACTCAACCTCCCTTTCCTATGCTGCCTCCTCTTAGGATGGTCTCTGTCCTCTCTCTTCTGTCTAGCCCAGCTACAGTCTCTGTATCTCTCTATCTTTCCGATTCTCCCTACAACTCTCTCTCTCTCTCCCACTCTCTCCTGCATCTCTCCCATGGTCTATAAATATATAGACCTACAGAGGCAGAAAACCCTCTTCCGTGCCCTCCTTTATCAACTGTGGGACAGAAGGCCACATGGAGATTTTTCCAAGCCTTTGACAATTGTGGGCCTGTTTCGAGGGAGGCTGGCATTGGCAGGAACAAAAGACAACAGAGATGGCCGGAGGCGGGGGTGGGGGAGTGGGGGTGGGTTGATAGCCTCATAAAAACTTCAGAGACCAGTTCAGGTCTCCTGTCCGTCAGTGAACAGGAACATAGCCTCTGGATACCTTCAGATTTTGCCTGTCTTTGCCCTTGTTCTTTTTGCTCAGGAAGTTTTGAGTTCTTTCTGAAAGACCAACAATTGCTCATGCTCTGTATGATGGTAGTAAAAATGTCTGAACCGATTCCCAAGCTCCTTCTGACAGAGAGACAAGGAAAAGGAGACAGACATAAAAATAGAGACTTAGAAAATCTAAGAGTTTCCTTGGATGTGCCCACACCCTCCCCCATGGGAATTGGAGGCGTCCAGATTAGGGAACCTAGCTTTGATGCTTTGGGGACATAACAGGGGTAGGGGAGTGGGTGCATGGGTGGGAGGTGGACTCTGATGACTTGGACGCACCAGGGTGAGCCCCGGCTCGGTCCACTCCTTCTATCTGGGACATCACAGCGAGTGGTAGGGGACCTCCGCGGAGATAGCCCTCATCCTCGCAGGTGTAAACCTGCGGGTCACTCCCTACGTTGGGACAGCCACACAGGCACTGGAGGTCTGGTCACTTGGTGTGGGTTGCCGCGTCTCTGTGATACCTGTGCTGGGTCGATGAGCGAACGGTCTTGGGGAGGCGGGCATGCACCAGATGGGATTTGAAACGTTTGTCAAAGACGCGGAGTCAGGGCAGGCGGTCCAACCCCGGACAGCAGTGCTCTCTGCCCCACTCCCTTCATCTCTGGTGCCTGTCCAGAAAGCTCACAGAATCTTGAGCTACTTCACTGAGTAGCCACTTCTGCCAAAGGAATCCGGATCTGCGGACAGAGGAGGGGATCCAGTTCCGCAGCAGGCTGGGCGTCTAGATTCCTATGGGGATGGTCTCCCCACCTAGCCTGACATCCTTTCCTATCACTTCCCGGGAAGCCCTCACTGCGCGGAGAAGTGCGCCTAGTTCATAGCGGGCAGCAGCTCCGGGTCGGGGGTTGAGTGGCGGGCGTGAGGGCGCACTAGAACCAGGGGGCAGGTGTGCGGTGGGATGGGGCGGGAGTCGGCGCTCCGAAACTTCTCAACAGCCCTGCAGAGGACCCTGCCTGCGTGGTGGTGCGCTCTCCCCCTCTGCTTTCCTCCGCAAGCCCGCCCCCGCCCCACCCAAGCATCTGCATCTGTGTGGCTAACGCCCCTCTCCCCTCACCCTCTTACCAGCTTTCTGTTCAGCGACGGCTGTCGTCCCGCTGTTTTCTGCAGAAAAGGGCTCGGGGAGAGGAAATGAGTCAAGAAGGAGAGGCCCAGAACCAGCATTTAAAAATCGCAGCCCCGCCCCAGGATGTCCGTCCATCAAGGAGCCCCGGCCTGTGTGCGGCTCCCTGCGGAGGGGCTTTCAACCACCCCAAGGCATGCTGCCCCCGGTGTCTTTCAGTGTCTTGGCTGCCTTCATTTCCTCAAAAAGTAATGACCCAGCCACTGCTCGTGTGCACCCTTCGATAGCTCAGCTGGTAGAGCGGAGGACTGTAGGCGAGGACGTTTGTAGGTATCCTTAGGTCGCTGGTTCGATTCCGGCTCGAAGGAAGTGCCACTGACACTTTTTGCCCCATCATGAAGACCTCCACTTCCCGGTGCCGAGCCCTCAGCGCCACTTCTTCCCGACAGATTTAGCCCTTGCACCAGGCAGCAGCAGAACTCTCACCCCCACAGAGCCAGGAGAGGTGGCCCTTCTAGCGCCACCATCACAGCCACCTGCGTGCTTCCCATAGGAATACACCTGCCTCTTCTTGAAGTCCAAGGAGCCATGCATTTCTGCGCAAAACAGCCCACCTTGCTTTTGCCTTAGCGGGCAGCCCTAAGCAGCCAGTCCTCACAAACTGCCAAGCCCTTTACACTTTTATTCGCCCACAGCTCTCTCGCCTACCTATCAAAGCGCTGTCTCTGACACTAGAGCTTTTCTAGCATGGACAGATCCCTGTCAAACAGGTTGCCCCAGAAGAGCCGCTTATGGCAAACCCTGTATGTCCACAGGCATACAGGCCAATAAGCCCGCCACGGATAACTCTGGCATGCATCTTTGTAATATTCCATGTCATTTTATGTATATGTCTCTTTTCCTCAATGTTTTTTGTTTTGTTTTGTTTCTCTTTTGGTTTTTAAATTTTGCCTGTGAGCTATAATCTTTAAAACCCAGTTATACAGTAAACTTTCATGGTTACCTTCTTAACATGGATTTGCCTTTGAGACTGTAAACAGTTACTCATGTGCCCTTTAAGTGACATTTAAGCCAAAATATGCAGCTGTTTTGTCCATGTCGTTTAATGAATGATTATTATTCCCCGTGTTCTATTTAGGTGGTCTATCAGTGTGATCTCTGGATTTTTTCTGCTAAGAATCTTTGAATTTATTTGTCTAGTCAGTATTTCTTGGTGCTTTATGTAGATTTTTTACTATTTTATGAGCAACAGTATCTCCTATTCTGCTTATATCATTTGGCACAGACAGGTGATCTATAAAAGACTTTATTGCTCTGTATCCACAGAGAGACCCTAGCTACGAATGTCACCACACGCAGAAATTAACATAATAGGACTAATGAAGGAATTAGGTCTTTCCTGGGCATCCTGTAATTCTCCCCCTTACATTATTACGTTTACATTTCTTCCTATTTACTAAGAATGTGTTCTTAGAATTATGAATGAATGCACATACTCATCAACAAGGGGACTAGCAAATCCTGCATTCTCTTCTTAGCTCATCAACCAGGTCATGTTGACTCAAGGGAGTTGCCACTTTTTAGGATTAGCATTCAGGTATGTTTTGCTCACAAGCCATTTAATAAGCACCTAAGCTGTCCCAGGTGTTGTGCTTGTACCAGGGCTATAGCGGTTAAAACGTACGTCTTGCCTTGAAATATTTCTGACTGTAAGTTACACAGAGATGGAAGAAGGCAGTTGTGAATCAATGTGCTGAAAACTGCAGTTGAGGTAAAAAGAATATTCCACGTAAATCTAAAACTAAAATCAATCTTGGGAAGTTTTAATGCAGGCTGGGGTGGTGGGTAAAGTAGGAAATATGGAAGCTCTCTTGGTAGAGCCAGTGCTTTGTGCTCAGTTCAGTTTTAGGACAGGAGTAGTAGATCTGTGATCAGGTGAGTGGAGTGGATACAGAAGAGTTAGAAAAGAAACAGGAACCCAAAGAGTGCTGACTTTTTTTAGTGTAACTAAAATGGTATCACTAGAGCATACAGAGAAGTCCTGGCAGGAAATGAAGGCACAAACAATTCTGCATGCAGTTTTATCTTATCTCATTATATTCCTGATGTTCCAGTTGCTGCTCACCCCCAAAGCAAGGGAAAGATTTCTCAACGTCTCTTGTGAGTCTTCACAGAGAAGATGCTGAGGTTTTATCACTTGATATGTACATTATTCTATGAGGTTTTATCACTTGATATGTACATTATCCTACCAGAATGACCCACAGAAGAAAGGTTCATGATGTCCTTGCACTTCCACAATCATTTTCATTGCATCCATTTCCACTCCTTCTGTCATTTTCTACGCACATCCATTTTTCAGCTGCCTGGTTTTGGCCAGCAGACAGTAAAGGCAGGAACACTGCTGATGCCAAGAAAGAAAAATCTTAAATCCACAATTTCTTCTACAATGATAACAACCAGAGGTGACAGATTCCATATAAAGAGCCCATGGTTTTCTGTGATGAAAAGCAAATGAGGAGGCTGCTGGGAATCACACAGTAAGATATTCAAATTAACCCTATCACTGAGGAAATCTGAAAGTTGGAACAATATATGAAAACATCTGCTTCATGACATCGGAAAGAGAACAAAGGTGACAGGAGTTACCCAAAATATATAAGAGGTAAAAATCCAGAGTGATAGTAACTAGAAAATGCACACATATATGAAAATAACTCATTTTATGGAAAAGCCAGTATGAATTTCATAACAAAACCAGACAAGAACATTAAGAAAAAGAATTATTATAGATCAATCTCACTCACGAACATGGATGTAAAAATTCTAAACAAAACATTAGCAAATCAAATAGAACCATATATAAAAATTATAACACATCTGGCAAAGTCAGAGATATTGGATGAAAGTAGGATTGATTTAATGTTAGAAAAATCAGTGAACTTCACCACACTAGCAGACCAAAAGAAAAAAATAAGACTATTTTAATAGGTGAAGAAAATTCATTTAATAAAATTCGGTATCTCTCATGATAAATTTATTAACAAACCAGGAATAGAAGGCAACTTATTGATGAAGTGCATCTACAAGAAAGAAAAAGCCTCACTACATGTTGTATTTAACAACATAGTTAATAGTGGAATGGTACTAGTTTTCTGTTTGAGATTGAAACAAAATTAAAATGCCCACTATCTCCTGTTCAACATTATACTGAAGAATTTCATTAGAAGAAGTGAGAATAAAGGAATGACTGTGTAAAAAGGAAATTTAAAGAAATCCACAAAGTAACAATGCTATTGGTACAGTTTATAGGATTTAAGATCCAATGACTGATAATAAATGCACTCCTGGGTGCTTGTCCCTCCGGTGGGTGGGATGACTTTTGATAATAATAGTGATGGTCTTGAACAGCTTCTCTTCTCTCTCTGCCTGTGCTAAAGCTGTGGGAGCTCACCAACGCCATGCCCCTCTCCCCACAATGCCTCTCCTGCAGTTAGATTGATTGGATGGCCAGTCTTGGCCAGAGATATATGAGCACAAGTGGTCTAAGTGTCCTTATATTTCTGCCCCATGCTCTTCTCATCCTTGATGACTGTGCGGGCCTCGTGTTGAGGATCCTGGATCTCTAAGCCATTGCTGCAGCCCACAGGATTGTAATATAGGTAAGAAATAAACCTTCACCATGTAAATCCAAATAAATAAAAAAAAAGAAGAGAGGGAATAAAAAAAGAAATACACAACTGTATTACTAGAAATAATAGGTGATTTTAAGAAATTTGCAGTATCAGAGATCAGTATTCAAAGATTACTTATATTTCCATATGCCATCATCAACTAGAATAGTTAGAATATTAAATTTTTTAACATTTTCTCTTTTTCTTTTTTAATACAATTTTAAAGGTTACTTTCCACTTACAAAATTACAAAATATTGGCTATATTCTCTGTGTTGTACTATACATCCTTGAGCCTATCTTACACCCAATAGTTTGTACCTCCCAAATATTAAATTTTTAAAAGATTATCTTTATCATAGTATCAAACAATGAAGTACCTAGGAATACATCTTTTACAATGTGCAAAATCCCAAGGCACAAAATATAAAGTATTATTGGGGAATTAAAGAAAAAAGTTACATAAATGGAAAGACAGTCCATGTTTATAGACTGAAAAGCTCAATATTGTAAAAATGTCAAATCTCCTCAAAATAATCTATCATCTTAAAATCTAATTGAAACTCCACAAATGGCTGGAGCAACTTGATAAGACAATTCTAAAGCATATATGGGCAGGCAAAGGATGAAAATAGCTAATAGACTCTTGGAAAGGAAAAATAGAGAGGACTTACTGTACAAGACACCGAGAATCTTTATGAAGTTACAACAATTTAGCCAGAGTGGCAATCATATAAGGTAGGTAAATATAACAATGAAACCATACAGTCTAGAAATAGACACATACTTGGCCACTGATGTGTGACAAAGATTACATTGCAGGGGAGATAATTGTCTTTTCAACTAGTGATGATGTATCACTTAACTAATACAATGGGGGAAAATGAATCTTGTTTCAAAGCACATATCACATATAAAAACTGATTAATTATAAATCTATTTGTGAATTGTAAAAGAGTAAAGCTTCTTAAAAAAATAAGAGAATATCTTGAGGACCTTGAGTTAGGCAAACATTTCTTAAACAAGACACAAAGAAACAAATGTAAAGAGACAATGAATTAAGCTACATTAAAATTAAGATCTTCTCATTTAAAAAATTCTATTGAGTAAAGAGGCCTACCACAGAGTGGGAGAAAGTATTTGTATAGCCAACAGGGGATTTACACCCCAAATATACAAAGAATGTCTACAAATTAATAAGGAAAACAATTGAGAACTATCTCAAATGCTTTTTCTTTCATCAGTTTTCTTGTGATATTTTTATCTGAATTTGGTGTGAGAATAGCACTGGCCTCAAACAAAGAGTTTGGAAGTGTTCCCTCCTCTATTTTCTGGAAGAGTTTGAGAAGGGTTGGTGTTAATTTTTTTTTTAATGTTTGGTGGAAGTTTCTTTAAATGTTTAGTGAAGCCATCTGATCCTGGAATTTTCTTTGACAGGTTTTTGATTACTGATTTCATCTCTTTACTCGCTATAGATCTGTTCATATTTTCGATTTTCTTGAGAAAGTTTTGAATCAGTTTTGATAGTTTGTGTGTTTCTAAAAGTTTGTCCATTTCATCTAGGTTATCTAATTTGTTGGCATACAATTGTTCATAGTATTCTCTTATAATCCTTTTTACTTCTGTAAGGATGGTAGTAACATCTCCACTTTAATTCCTGATTTTGTAAATTTGAGTTTTCTTTCTTTTTTTCTTCATCAGTCAAGCTAAAGATGTGTCAATTTTATTCATCTTTTCAAAAACTGAATTTTGTTTTTTTGATTCTATTTTTTGTTCTCATTTTTATAATCTCCACTCTAGTCCTGATTATTTCTTTCCATCTGCTTGCTTTGTGTTTAGTTTGTTCTTTTTCCTTAAAACTTTTCTTCTTGAACTTTTTTCTTCAAACTTAAGATTGAAGATTAGGCTACTGACTTGACATCTTTTTAAATACATGCAACTATAGCTCTAAATTTCTTTCTGAACATTGCTTTTGTTGTATTCCATAAGTTTTGGTATGTTGTGACTTTGTTTTCATTCATCTTTAAGTATTTTCTAATTTCTCTTGTGATAGCTAATTTGATACATTGGTTGCTTAAGACTGTATGGTTTAATTTCCACCGATTTGTGAATTTTCCATATTTCCTTCTGTTCCTGATTTGTAGTTTCATTCCACGGTGATTAGAAAAGACACTTCATAATTTCAATACTTTAATTTTATTGTGATTAGTTTGGTGGTGTAATGTCTGTTTTGGAGTCTG